GCAGTGCGTCACGTCAGAATAAGTTGTTTAAAATAAAATAGTCAATCCCAGCCAAATCTAGGTCAAAGGGTCAGATTGCGTGCATATAATTATAGATAGTTAAAAAAAAAAGTATTTGAACTTTTGACGGTTGTTCAACATCTATGCACGGTTACTAAACTAGTAACCGTGATCTATGAAAACCAGAAAATTGTTAGTAGTCCGAATTTTTGCACAGTCGAAAATAACAGGGAAATTCAACAAGCGGTTGCAAAAGCGAGCGATTGGAAAGCGGAAGCGGGCGAAATGAGTTCTGTACTTCTTTGTTTGATGAAGCGATGCTGATGCCACATTGTCGCCATAATGAGGCCACAATGAAGCGAAGCAATGACCGCCTCAACTTTTTATGTCGCGACATTGAAGCGACGCTGAAGCCATAACAATGCCATATTGATGCGATGCTGAAGCGAAGCTGACGCTGAAGTGAAGCCAAAGCTTCCGCGAGAACTGTACTGTACATGTATATTGTATCCTGCACAAAACCTGATGCAGAGTACAGACGCATACAAAAACCTGATTTGCTCTAGTTACACTTTGATTCATACATGTACATAAAAGAACCAGTGAACAAAACATTACATAACTGATTCCAATGGTATGTGTTTTACCGGTAAATACACAGTGTGCTTAAGTTAAAATCCCATCAAAACACAATTTGTTGATTTGTATTGGAAATGTGATTCTCGAATTCCCTTCTAGGCTCCTTAGTTTTCATTCTAGTAGCCAGGCAACAACAGAAAGCTTCTTAAGGTAATTTTATTTTGTTCAAGGTGATGATGAATATATTTACAATATCTGCTTTCAAGTGAATAAAAAAAAGCAGACATTTTTGGTGTCAAATCCCTTGTATGGGGAAAAAACAACAATGCAAGGAAAACATTTTTTTTCTGTCTATTATATAAATTATTCTACTTATATTGTTTAGTTATCTGATTTGATTTTCTTTTCCACATTATGCTCTATTCAATATGATTTTCTGCAATCACAGCTTTGTGTGAGTGAATAAAAATGGAATACAGGTAGAGCAGGACTTCTATAAAGATGATCAGTTATTATGTGTTACATTTGAAAGAAACATTCTGTCATTTGGGTCCACTACACTAAAATACAGCACATCTTCACCATCATAAAACGCTACAAAATAGTGCATCATTTTTTCAAACAAGTTTTTGTCTATCAATTGATAGATTTATTGCCAATAAAACAGCTGAGTAGACATGATTAATCACATGTTCCAACCTCTAGTGTATTCTACATATGGAAATCCACACAGCCAATATACTGTAGTCAACACATGGATGTTTACACAGCCAATATACTATAGTCAACACATGGATGTTTACACAGCCATTATACTGTAGTCAACACATGAATGTTTACACAGCCATTATACTATAGTCAACACATGGATGTTTACACAGCTATTATACTGTAGTCAACATATGGATGTTTACACAGCCATTATACTGTAGTCAACACATGGATGTTTACACAGCCATTATACTGTAGTCAACACATGAATGTTTACACAGCCAATATACTATAGGCAACACATGGATGTTCACACAGCTAATTTTATAGTAGTGAACACATGGATGTTTACACAGTCATTATACTGTAGTCAACACATGGATGTTTACACAGTCATTATACTGTAGTCAACACATGGATGTTTACACAGTCATTATACTGTAGTCAACACATGGATGTTTACACAGTCATTATACTG